GTAACAGGGTACCATGGAACTAGGTGGCTTAAACAACAGAAACCTAACTTTCTCACAATCCTGGAGGCTAGAAGTCTGAGGGCAGGGTGTCAGCAGGGTTGGTTTCTCCTAAGGCCTCTCTCCTTGGCTTGCAGATGGCCGTCTTCGCCCTGTGTCCTCACATAGTCTTCCCTCTGTGTCCTGATCCTCGTTTCTTCTAAGGACACCAGTCAGCTTGGATTAGTTTCCCCAGTGATCTCGTTTAACCTAATCATCTTTTGAAAGACTCCAAATACAGTCACTTCTGAGGAACTGGAGGGTAGGACATCAACATGAGGATTTGGGGGAGACATTTCAGCTGTGACACCAGTTCTGCTTCTTTGCAGGAAGGACTGTAGGAATGGTCACAACTTGATGTCCAGTCACAACATGAGCGTGCTGAAAACTCACGGTGTGGACCACCTCAGCTTCAGAGAGCTCTCTGTGCTCTTATTTCAGAACGACCCCTTGCTCTTGCCAGAGGTGAGTGCCAGGAGGAGGGTGGGTCTGTGTTTAAGTGATCGGGGAGAGGCCAAAAGGTTGAAAGACAGGAAAATATGGCAGAAGACAGGCCAAGGATCCCATTTTGACCTGTGGGATCTGGCTGGAAGGAGACCTGGACTGAGTTCCTGGCTCTGCTGACTTTTAGATCTGCAACCTTGGGTCAGCCTTGCCCCTTCTTGAAGCCTCCTTTCCTTCTATGTCAGTTGGGCTGGTACCTTCTTTGCAGGGCTACTGTGAGTGTGGGGGAGCCTGTTTGGCCAGTGGCTGCAGCAAATTGTTACCCAGAGCTGAGGGGATGGAGAGATTCTAGCCGCCCCTCCCCGTCTAGCAGGACTTGGAAACATGCAGGTATCGCCGGACCCAGGAGGTCTGCGGGGACATTTTCTAATTTGGGTTGATGTGACTTCTCATACTGCATTTCAGGCATTAACCACTTGTTTTGAAGCTTGCTGCAGAGGTCATGTAGGAGTTGGAGTCCTCTGAGGAGCAGACACCAAGATGGGTTAGGAGTGTGAGAGAGTTACTGAGGGGAGGAGAAAAGCTGGGTGAGCCTCCAGGTGTTGATGGTTTCTGACGTCTGTGGCAGGAGAGGGGGAAGGAAAGGGACTGGGTTGAAAGAGACTCTGACTGAAGCTTCTGCCCAGCCTATGAGAGTTCTGAGCTAGAGTCACAGTTGGAGGTGTCCTAGGTCTGGATTCTTTAGCCTTCTGGTGCATTTTTACCTCTCGTTCAATGTAATGCCTGTGAATTGAGTGGGTTGGCCCTTGGTGGTCTCTGGCTTGGTTCCCATCTGTAGCAATGTGGAATGTAGAAGACCAGGAGTAGTTGATTCAAGTTCAAGTCCCAGGTTTACCAGCAGCCCAGTTCAGCAGACAGTGTATATGCCAGGTGAGGTAGATAGCTGTGTGACCTAGGGCAAGCCCCTTAAGCTCTCTGAGTCTCAGTCTGTGCTTGAGAAATGGCTGTATTTGGCCTTTTTGAAGATGCTTTAAACCCTCAGAACAACCTCTTTGGCCCTGAATTGGAGGAAAAAGAGTTGGGAGAGACTGGGACAGGGACAGTCGGCGAGTCAGTGGGGGAAGGGTGTGGGCAAAGTGTGAGGGTTGTTTGGTTGCTACTCGGTGAGTCACGTTAAAATGTCTTACGTGAAGGGAGCTTCTCTGATCAGTTGGAAGTTCTTTGGATTTTCTTGGTGGAGGGGCTTGTCCTGAGAAGTCTGCTGCCCACCCACATCCCATTTAGCCAAGGGCATGTGCTAGCGTCTGTCCATCTACTGCTGTGAGGGATGGTCTCATAGCTGTGTGGTCCATGTGAAGGACGGAATCACAGCCTTGGCTAGGTCTCCAGAGGAACCTCTTCTAACCAGTAGCCTCATCAGTAAGGGGGTGGTGTTGTGTGAGGTCTGTAAGCTACTGTCTTTTTTCCTTCTGTGTTAACAGATCTGCCTTCATTACAACAAAGGAGATGGACCCTACGGCTCTTGTTCCTTTAGAAAGCAATGTATCAAACTCCACGTCTGCCAGTATTTTTCACAGGGTGATTGCAAGTTTGGCACTGGCTGTAAGAGATGCCATGATTTCTCTCATTCTGAGAATCTGGAAAAACTGGAGAAACTGGGCATGAGGTCAGAGCTGGTGAGCTGGCTGCCTTCCATTTACAGAAATGCTCATGACATCAAGAATAAGGGCTCTGCCTCCATCAGAGTACCACCTCCTCCCTCTAGACCACAGGGGACTGCCGGTAAGGCTCTGAGCTGGGGCTCCTGGATGCCAGCTGGCCACTGAATGGAATGTGTATGACTTCGGGCAGCAAGTCTGTGCTGCTTTTAAAATGTAGTCGGTGATCCCTTCCTAGCTAGTGGGGTTTGTGAGCATGAGTTGAGTTGAAATCACAGTTGTGAACAAGCAAGACGTTCTGAATAAATTCCAAGACATTGATGTTGACAGTGGGTGAATTCCCTCTGGGCCTGATCTGCACAGAGACGGAAGATGCTGCTTCTGCCGTCTTTGTTTTCTGGTGAGGAACCCCAAAGTTAAGAGTGCTGTGCTGTACAGCTCTAGGGCCATCCTTTGCACGGCATTCTGGGTTTTTTTTGTTTTTTTTTTAATGAGTGAATGAAGCATATTTTAATTTCAGCTGGCTTCTTGACATGAATAAATGGAATTTTTTTCATCACTGTAATTTTATTTGTTCACTGCTTCTGTCTAGATGACACTTGGGCTGTAGGCACTCAGACGTTTGTTGAATGAATGAACCTGCCAGGATACTTTTTTTTTTTTCCTTGAGTGATATCAGGCTTAGGGACAGGCAAATGGGAGAAATTTGAGCAGAGATTGTTTATTTAATAAGCATTTCTTGAGTCTCTGATGTGTGGGAAATGAATACCGTGGTCCCTCAGGGAGGATACAATACCTTGATGACCTTTGGATTTCACAGTATCTGCTGTTACCCGGCCATTCTGATGATCCATTTTTTTTTTAAAAAGCTTAACGTAATTTTTTTTGTAATAATGCTTTTTTTTTTTGCAGAGGGGGGGAATTAGGTTTGTTTGTTTTTTTGTTTGTTTGTTTACTTTAACGGAGGTACTGGGGATTGAAGCCAGACCTCATGCATGCTAAGCATGCGCTCTACCACTGAGCTATACCCACCCCCTTGATCCATGTTTTCATTCAACAAATTGGAGTCCTTGCCACTTGCTGGCCACTGCCCAGGCCCTCAGGTGACTGAGACATGGCTCCCCCGACTTGTTAGCTGTAGTGATAATCCAGAATTTTTAAGAGCCCACTTTCTAAAACATCAGATGACCAGCAAACAAACTTATCATTCTAATTTATTTATTTTATTTTTTGGTGGGGAAGGAGGTAATTAGGTTTATTTATTTAGTTAGTTATTTTTAGAGGAGCTACTGGGGATCGAACCCAGGACCTCCTACATGCTAAGCATGCACTCTACCATTTGAGCTATACCTTCCCCCAAACTTATCATTCTAATCTTACCTGATTTTCATATTTGAAAATTGTCCTTGCCATATGTTTTTTCTTTATGTTAGTTTTTGGTTAATTTCTTTCAACAGTAGGAAGCCTAGAAGTCAACAGGTTTTGCTTTCAGTAGATCTTCTAAGAGTGTTAGTTGGATTATGGCCTTGTTAGAAAGATAGGGGGAGGATCCCTGCTCCTGCGGAGAAAGGGAGGGGACCTCTAAGGCCCCTCGGGTGTGGGTTTTGAGGACTAGCATGTAGATGTCTAAGGGGCCTATAAAATGGAAAGGGAAGGTTAATAACAAAATGACAGGTGACCAAATAGGGAGGTTTGCTAATAAGTTTTATATGCTTTTACAGTGAAGGTTGAGGCTGGCCTAAATGTAACTATTAGGTAAGAGTGCATTGGAGTACTTCTAGTAAAGATAAACTGAAAGCACTTTGATGCCCTTATTATATTAAAATTCTTATTGTTTACCAAAGTTAGGTTTCATTTTGTGTAGTAGGCTTTCCATTTATTGTTATTTTTTTCTTGGTATTAGTACCCAATTCTAACAGTTCATTGACAAGTGTTTGCTGTTGGAATCAAATCTAGTTTAAAAATGCAGCTTTCACTTGCTCTCTGGGGTCATCACAGCCATAGATACAGAAGGAATCTTAAGCTGCCTCAGTGTGTGCGTTAGTATTAAAAAAGGGTCCTGGGTTCCACTGCTGGAGGGTCCTGATTAAGTCAGTCTGAGGTAGAGCCGGGGACTTCTGTTTTTAAACAGGTCTCTTAGTGAATGGGCTGCACAGCCAGAGCTGAGAAAACACTCCCCCTCAGGACCCCAACCATGATGTCCTGGTTTTGGCAGGCAGCTGTGTGGCCTTGGGCTCCCTGGTTCCTCCCTAAAAAGCAGAGAGCCCACCTGTATGTCTGAGGGTGCTTTCATCCAGAACGTTGTAAGATCTTGCGAGGTTGCCTTGCCCACTTTTGCCTCGAGCAGAGGGATGAATGAATTCTTTTCTCTCCTTTGTGCCTTCAACTACTACAGCCCCATATCAGAAGCTTTGATGGAACCTGATACATATTTGTGGTGTTTCTTTGTAGAAAGAAGAGACACAGGTTCTGTGTCCCCAAACACTACTAATCAAGAGGAGAGTGATCAGATCTGCTTGTACCATATCTGGAAAAGCTGTAGCTTTCAAGGTAAGTCGGGGGAAACCCTTCATCCACTTGCAGGTGGGATAACTGCTTCTGGTTTCCAGAGCTCTGCTCTGAGGCCACCCCTCGAGGTCCTCTGTTCCATCCAGAGAGGCTGGGGCTTCTTGTGAACTGGCGAACTGGGTGATTTTGTTGGGGAACGGAGGGTGGTAGGAATTGCTTGAG